ACAGGAGGTGAGAAAACTTCTAACTGTTTCATAAGCACCGCTGTGCTCCACATTATGAGAAAGCCGGACTCGTCGGTGTTACAGGGGCTCAGTTTCAAACCTATTCCTCTCCAAAACCAATTCAGTGTAGTGTCGGAAAATGTTTTTGGCTTGCATCACAACCCTTCCTGCTGATATAAGGCCAAATTTGAGATTTGTTAGCAGAAAATAAAAGCTGGTATTGTTCTTCAAATTAAGCATAAAGCGTAGGATGCCTAGTAGTCATGGTCCCGCAGTATCCTTCCCTTTCACCCCCGTTTTTTGCATTTCCCCCTGTTCCTCCCTCCCACATCCCACCATGGCCTGGGGAAAGTCTAACCACCACTACAGATAACAGAAGACAGATCTGCATCTAAAAGCCATGTTTGGAAAAAACAAGAACGAAACACTAACTTTGACCTTGGCCCAGCACTAAATATATACAAGGAGAAAAGGAGGGTAAAGGGAGGATGTCCGAGCATGCGTCTGTGTGTGTGAGAAATGTGGGGACGTGCTGATTGGACTAATGTCGGAGAAGCACAGGAAACACAGACAAGTTCACTTATGTGGGTTTGTTCGGCTACACTAGCACACACAGATTATTTTGCTGCCTCGACTGTTCAGACAGCACAGAACATAAGGCAGAAATTGGCCATTTGGGACAACAAACACAAGCTGTATGGTCTGCAGCAGCAGAAGAAAATGGTGTTGCTGAAATTCTTTTAATTGCTGACAAAACAACGGCAGAATTATCCTTGCTCACACTAGGATAGGAAATAACTCCCCCGCCCACCCACACGCCATTCGTCTCACTTGAAAATACCAAACGCGGATGCTAACAACAATCAAAAACATCCTATTTTGAACTTGGGAAGCGAGTGTTTGCAGTCAGGCGGCGTGCAAAACCGGCTGCCACCTCCGTCTTGCAGTTACCTGTCACATCTGTGCAGCATTGGAGCGTCTCTTCCCCTTACAAGAGAAACTATTTCAATCTGCCTGCCCTGTTTGATCTGCCTTGGCCTTTCACTGCAGAGGCTGCATCAAAAAGATGCCGGAAACTTAAAAGCTCCATCCCTTCATCTTTCTCTTTTCCACTTCTCTCTCTCTCTCTCTCTCTCTCTCTCTATGCTCTCATCCACTTCTTTCTGTCTATTTTGTTCAGACAGAAATTGGAAGTTGTAAACACTTTGTCACTGGCTCATTAGAAAAAGAAGCAAAAAACAAGACAAATTGGCTCATCCGCTGCAGTAATACTCATGTTGGAGCCAATACAACAAGAGACTAAAATATTCTTTGATATAAATGACTGGACATTGGGCAATGCTTGATACTGTCTGCTTGATACAAACTCTACGTGCATACAAACTACTCATTTTACTGTGTGCTTTCATAATCCAGTTGGGGGCATCCCAGTTCCCAGTCTTCTCACGTATTCACAAACCAGGCTACCTGGAGCTTCCCCTGAAGCTTTGGCTGAAGTTGCTTTTATTCCTCTACTGTTGAATTCTTCTCCATCTCTTCCACTTTGCTTCCTGTCAGAGTTTGTCTTATTCACAAACTCCTACGTCATCCAATCTCGTCTCTCTGCCCACATTCCTTGAGCCGACTGGTTGTTGGATGCTGCCTGGACTTTCAGACCTGATCCTGAGCAACCTACCACTTTCTCTGCCATCATCACTTTGATCTCTAGATTGTTCTGGCAGATCTTCCTGAGAGGTTTTCAGCTACTGGCTTTACTCCACCACCTACAGCATCTATACTCTGAGGGAGTCCTGTCGCATCTCTTATCTCCTTGGGCCTACATTTAATGAAGGTGCTCTTGAATGGTGGACTGTTACTATTCCAATAAATATTGGTATCATATTTAAAATGAACTCTCCTCATTGAAATGACTGACAAAGACTAGATTTAGCCAGGAGAGGGAGAGAGATGCCCATCAACACCTCATGCCTTTTGGGTATAATTGAGTATGTAACATTGCGGTAATGTTTTACTGACAAGCCTTAGTAGTAAGTAGTAGTAGTAATAACATCTATTATATTTTTATCTTAAGTGGTCTATTGCTTTGTTATTTGATCTACATGCCAGTCTGAGCTAATCCGATAAACTGCCTTACAGAAGTGGTGAAAACAACTTATTGTAGGTGGGATTCAGACTGGTATTTTGCCATGTAATATCAGCTTACTTGGCAGTCTAGTCATCAGCAGCTCAATAGACGAGAGCATGGCTCTAACACTGTTGGATCAGTGCTTCAGCTCCCGCTGGGGCCACCGATACAGCATTCAAATGTCGACTCTGAAGGCAATAAAAAACCCTCAGCTAAATGCCATTTTCATTACATCCTATGGACATATCACACCTTTCCTCTGGGGGTTTTCGAACTGAATGAGTTAAAGGTGCTTTATCAATCTGGTTTATTGCCATTCTTACTGCCACCTCTCCTCTTTTGCTTTATTTATTACAGGCATTTGAAGTATGAAGCTCGACGCAGACGGACCGCAGGGTGCATCGTCGATCGTCTATAGCTCTCAGCTCAGCCGGGGTCTGAGCCATTGAGGGCTGAGAGCGCTGACACAACACCACCCCCACACCAACCTGGACCCAACCACACACACGCTCCCTGTGGCGGTTGGTGTTTCCACACAAACACAACAATTTCCTGCTATTCTCACTTATAATAAGGCTCATAAAACTCAATGTCAAGGAATCTCCAGAAGGAACAGACTTCAAAACACAGTAAAGTCGCATCCTTGAATGCAAGAATGAGACTGTTCACCTAAATACCCCCTTATAAAAAAAGAACTATGCAGTTAATTATTCATCATTTAATATTAAAGGATACAACAGTGTGAAATAATGACAGCAAAGCTTTGGAAAACTAACAAAAAATCACATCAAACTGCCATTAAACTATCTAGTGTACCTAAAGGGACTGTATGATACCATATCCATTATCACTAGTACCACAAACACACTATCAGTTCCTATATAAATATTACATAAGTGTAGTCATATTCATTGGAGATTGTAAAACTGCAAGTAAGTAGGATGTGGTTGCTTTAAACATGTGATTAAACACCACCGATGTTATCACATGGGAAGTGTCATCCTAGAACTTCATTTAAACATGACTGAACCCTGGTTACAACATCCAAAGAATAATACATAGAAAGGTGGATACATAGAGAGCGGGAAGAAAACGGATGATCTCCTCTAAGAACAAATTAATAATAAAAGACTCCAAGAATAAACTAGGTAATTAGGTTACAGGAAGCTCAAAGCACATGCAGCGCCGCTGTCGCCGGAGTCTGATTCCGACTAATTTCGGGCTAAAAGCCTCTGCAAGCAGTGTGTGTCTGCGGGTGTACGAGGAGCTAATATGTTCCACAATCATTATGTCACCAGAGCCATGCATGCAGTCACTTTGGATGTCACGCCTCAGCCCCAAAGTGGAGGTGATGTTCAGGGTTTCTGCCTTATCAACGCGTCCCAGCACAGGCACATCATGACACACACACACACACTTAAAGAGAGAGGGAGAGAAGTCTTTCTTCCCCATACATCTCTTTGCATCTCCTCCACAGCTCCCACATCATCTCACACACACACACACACACACACACCTACACACACACACACACACATCCTCACAAGTTCACCCTGGAGATAGATAAGAAGGGAGAGAGAAGGAGATGAGAGGAGATTCAGAACATGCAAAGAGAAGACTCTCTCTCCTCTCTCTCTCTCACACACACACACACACACACAAATACACATAACCTAAAGAGATTTTTTTTTCTCCTATGTGCTTGGCAGCCAAACTGGTGGCTTGGCGCCCGGTAGTCTCTCAAAATCAGCCTGTCTGCCTCACCTACGCATTTCAAGTCAAAAATTCATAAGGTGACACAAAACTGTCAGAGCACGTTGATGCGACTCCAAAATGATGATGCTGTGAGTGTGTGTGTGTGTGTATGTGTGTATGTGTGGGTGGGTGAGGGGCACGCGCACGCACACATCTGCACATGCATGCGCTCACACACACATCCCTAAAGAAAAACACTCACAAGCCCGCAGACTCACAGGTCAAACATCACACACACTTTGAAACATTCACGTTTTGCGTCCTAACAAGTACAAATAGGCACACGGCTGCATACATGCACAAACTTGTACACACACACACAATCGTGGTCTCCATATATCCGCACATGCACGCGCACAGTGAACGCAAAGAGTGTTTTCAAGTTAAATTCGCGTCTTGAGCGCAGATGACACCGGGTTCAATCCTATTTTAAAGAAAAGAATCAGCAGCAGCCACAAATCAAATAACTCCAACAATATTATTGTGTGCCTGCAGCGCGCTCACCAGAAGCGTTATAAGATTCAAGCTAGACTAATGGCATCACTAAACCATCGCAGCAACATTCCTATAATACTCCTGCGATCTCAGATGTACCATATAAACATTACAGCTCCAGCATGTGGGAGATAAAAACACCCCCTGTGGAGCTCATACACTAACAGCCTATTCATGCTGCCACTTTGCCTCCAGAATCCGCAAAATCCTTGCAAGTGAGGTAAGGCAATCCTTCACCTTCAACAACTTGACCAGTTCCACCAGAAAAATCACTCATGTCAGAGAGAGTTCATCCGCAACCCTCGGCGTGCGCCTTGATGCCGCTTCTCCCCGTGTGCGCAAAACAAAGCCATGCGATGTTCCGAAGCGCAAAAATGAACCAACGGAAAGCAGGATTTTCTCCCGCTGCACAGGCTGGTCCATGTGTGCTCATGTTAGAGACGAAGACGGGAGAGAGACATCGGCGGAAGGCATATGAAGGAGGACAAGGAGGGGATAAGGGAAGGAGAGGGTCGGCGGGGAAAGGAGAGGAATGTCACCAACATTTCGGATGCGGGGGGAAAAAAATCTCCAAGACGAGTAGGGGGAGATGATTAACAACCACAAAAAGTTTGGCTGTACTTACTGATCAAACCGCACTTCACGTCCGTCCTGCTTGGCATGTTTTTTAGGATGTCAGAGTTGCAGCAGAAGACATTTCCATTCCCGGCGGGCTTGTCATACAGCAGCAGCACCGGTTCCAAAGCTCAGCTCTGCAGTTCCGTGCGCACAGGAGAGCAGCGCTCAGCATGAATGAGAGGAGAGCTGCGGTTAGACTCCGGCATCCCCTGCTAGATAGACAGAGAGAGAGAGAGA